TGAGTGAAAGCCCCATGGGAGGCAGAGTCCTGATCCTGGCCCAGACGTGTGCAGTGATTTGTGTGAGCTGCTGCATGGGAGCCCGTGTGCTCTGGTGTGGAACAAGGGTTTGTTGGGGCTACGTCTGTAGGAGGATTTGCTGCAGACTTAAAATCCCTGCAGTGCAGGAGAGAAGAGCTTTCTGTGCAGGAGAGGCCTGAGCCCCCACCTCCTCTGACTTCCTTTCCCCCCTCTCGTGACCTGCAGTGTAACCCGGTCATGATTGACGCTGTCAAGATATCGGCTGCCCACCGAGCCCGCTACTTCTGGGGCAACCTTCCCGGGATGAACAGGTAATGCTTTGCTGTCCTTTTGAATCTCTCTCTGTAGTTTTGTTTTGTTTTGTGGTGCTTGTGTGGTTCTTCTTTCCTCCTTGGCCCCAAGCCCAGCCCCTGGGAGCCAAAGAGCTGCAGCTCCCGCGCGGTGCAGTTTCCTCCCTGCAGTGATGTGCTCGTGATAATGCGCTTGTTAATGAGCAGTGATGAGGCTGTGGGAAAAGTGTGACAGCGTCCCCATGCCTGGACCTGAAGCCTGTGGAGGGAAGAATGATAACTACCTGAAAGGAGAGTGTAGAGAGAGAGGGGTCAGTCTGTTCAACCAAGGACCAAGGGACAGGACAAGAGGAAATGGGCTCCAGTTGTGCCCAGGGCAGTTGAGATGTGATGTGAGGAAGAATTTCTTTGCTGAAAGGGTTCTGAGGCATTGGAAGGGGTTGCCCAGGGCAGTGGTGGAGTCCCCATCCCTGGAGGGATATAAAAGACAGGTAGATGAGGTGCTCAGAGATGTGGTTTAGTCGTGGACAGGTACGGTTGGACTCGATGATTTCAAAGGTCTTTTCCAAACAAACAATTCTATGATTGTAAAACTGTAAAACATGGGCTGGAGCTTGAGGGAGCCCTGGGCTGGACACGGGGACAGAGGGATGCTGTGTCCTCTCCAGTGGGCACCGGAACAGTCACCAAGTCTCACCCCCCAATTCTGCCTCTGCTCTGCAGGATCTTTGGCTTCCCCCTCCCCTACATGGATGTCTCCAGCACTGGCCGTGGGGCTCGCCAGAAGCTGCTGGGGAGATCGTGGAGTGTCCCCGTCATCCGGCACCTCTTTTCCCCGCTCAAGGATTACTTTGCCTGTGAATAGCAAGCCGAGCGTCCCTCGTCTCTCTGGTAAAGATGCACAGCTCCGCTGCCGTGGCGGGAGAGGGACGGGCACGGCCGCCGGACTCTGCCACAGCCCCATCCTTCCCCGGCCACATGCTGTGGGAAGGCAGCCTGGCCCCGCAGGGAGAGCTGAGGAAATGTCTTTAACCAAAGAACCTGGCAGGGTCACTTTTCTTTCAAGGGATGAACGGCAGTGATACCTAGAGACCTGATGGACTAAAGAGCTTTAATTACCCAGCGCAGGAAGCTCTATGCATAACTGAGACGGGAAGTCTCCTCAGAGCATTAAATATTCCGTTTTAGCCTAGAGCTGGAAAGCCACAACTTGCTGAGCAGTGAGTGTGGAGGCAGCTGCCGGGTGCTGCAGCCACTCGGACTGTAGTGAGTTATTGCTTTTCCGAAACAAACAAAACCTCTCTTGAAGCAACTGCCAAAAAACCCCCAAACTGTAGCAGCAGGTGTAAGGGACCCTGGTCAGGTTACATACACTGAACATGCAGGATACAGAAACCAAATCTTTTTTAAAATTTTTGTTTTTAAGACTTTTTTGATAAACTGTTAATTATGTTGTTTAAGGTCTATTGCTGCTTTAAGGCATTACATAAGAATGTGGAGATTCCTAGACCCGAATGTAGCTGAAACTGAACTGTGAGGTGATAGAATTACTTTTCTAGCTAGAACTGAAGAAATACTGTTTTATATGTTTGGCTGTAGTTTACAAATATTCACTACTTCCTTTTTAAAGCATCTAAAAACTTTTCCTTACATTTTAAAATCCTGCTGAGCAGTTTGAAAGCTGACACAGGAATCAGAGCACGGAGGATTTGAACTCCAGTGTTCATAAAGGAAAAGTGTTCTCTGAGCATTCATTTCCCACGTGAATGCGGCGCAGCGGCAGGAAGGACAGCGTAGTGGGCAATGTCACAGCCCCCCAGTGTCACCTGTGATGTCAGGACAGCGTAGTGGGCAATGTCACAGCCCCCCAGTGTCACCTGTGATGTCAGGACAGCGTAGTGGGCAATGTCACAGCCCCCAGCTGTCACCTGT